AGAGGATTCAATCTTTTCCCAAGGGTATTAGCACGTAAGTTAATGTAATAGATTCGACTGAATTCGAACTCGACTCTCCGATTCCTCAATCCGAACCGATATACATTACTCCACCGTGCCTCCACACGCACACACCCACACGCGCGCGCACACCCCACACGCGCGCACACACACACACACATATATATATATGTGTGTGTGTGTGTGATGCGTGTGTGTGTGTGTATATATATATATATATATATATATATATATATATATATATATATATATATATATAAAGGATGAGTTGTAAGACTGTTTCAAAATTCTTTACTTTCAGAAGTTTACTGGTAGAAATGCATTTAAGGTAAGCAGTCTTTGTGATAAAGTGCTCGATTACAGAAACAGCGCGTTAATTGTATTAATATAGGGAAATTGTCACTTAACTGATCGATCTCACCCCCCGACATAACGACTTCGAAGTTTCGTAAACGTATAGTATACGTTCACTCTTCAAGAATTTCTCCGGCTTTTCTGTCGATATTTCAATATTTGCGAGTTGTGAACATATAAACACGCAAACATGTTTGTGTGTGTATGTGTGTGCGTGTCTGTCCGTGAGTATAAAATCACTGTCTACGAATTTTATCACTACACCATTACACACTGACTTTTGTTAATTTCTCCACTAAGGAAAATATATCTTGTGGTAAGGGAAAATAAATTGATTTCTTTCAGTTATGTGTGTAATTATCTGTATTGTCAGTACATAATATTGTAAACCAAAAGAAATAAAAAAAATGAATAAAATTAACGTCGCTAGTCGTGCTGCGTACAGCTGAACACTATCAAGTTGGAGACATACTTAATGTGCAATGTATTTCTTGCTTCAATTTTATGAATAATCTTTTAAAAATCTCTAATGATTTGTATGCTCTGTTTTTCAAGGAACACATTATTATTTCAACTTATTGTTTCAAATGTCCATTTTAGATATTTTACTCCGTATAGTAAAAGGTTTGTAGCGGAATGTATCAATTGAAAAAAAGACAAATTCAATTTAGACGACTTAAAGTCGACAAAAATCAAAGTGTCAGCCATAACTCGTCGATTGGAAGGTTGGAGTGAAGAGTGAGACTAGGGCAGTGTTGAGGAAATATGATATAAATTATAAGTACCACTCATAAACGTACAATAAATTAAAGTAAAAATTCACAGACTTAGAGATACATAAACACAGATGCAGAGACATGTATGCAAACTTGCTCTTGTGATATGATCAGGATAAAATAAATTATTTTATTCGGTATATTGAAAATCAATGCAATGATGAAGAGAATAAAATATTATCGATACAACAATGCCTGAAATTGAACATTTGAATGATTCTGATTCCCCCTCTCTTCCAAAAATGACCTGTGGAAAGCAAATGAACGATAAGTTTGAAATGTTTGCAGATAATTTTCCAATGAAGCATATAACAGCTTTACATCACAAATACTCAAATTTATTTGATTACAAATTTTTAGTAAACGAACGGAAATATTTGAACCATGACAATTACTTTAAAAATGTGACTCAAGTCATGTCATTTTGGAATTATTTCACAAATTAGGTTTCTTAATTGTAGCGGTAGAAACTCTAAAATTGATTCAATTTGTTCTAACCATCCCTGACACGTCTGTTACAAACGAAAGAAGTTTCTCAACCTTAGATAGAATTCGACCGAAACGTCGTGAATATGGCAACAAAGATGATGACAACAGTCCGAACAATGTAAATAGTGCAAATAATTACAGAAATATAGACAGATTTTTATATCTTTCTCTTTTATCGTATATATATATATATATATATATATATATATATATATATATATATATATATTATATATATAAAGTTATAGTTCCTGTCTGTCTGTTAGTTTGTAATCGAACTTCTCCTAGGAGTTTGAAGATACACTCCATAAAGATATATATTCTGAAACTACATTACCCAGGGTATTTTGGGTAAGTGTATTTCATTTTGATCAAAAGGAGTATCCGAGGGTCACAAACCCCCACTTAATATTTTCCTTTGATATAAATTAAATTTAAATTTAAACAAGGGAACGACTCCTAGGGTACTTGGATAAGTATATTTTATTTTGAGAAAAGAGGTCCCTGGGGTGCACAAACTCCCTACTGAAAATTTTTCCCCTTTGATTTTAATTAAATTTAAATTTAAACAAGAGAATTACCCCTATCCAAAATATAGTTGGGGAAAGCTAGATGATGGCGGTCACATCGGCAAGATCAAAATGAGTCAATTTGGACGTTAACTTGAGCAAGAAATCACCAATCAGTGATAACCTTACAATACATATTTATTGCGACTATTCAACTATTATATCAATGTTGAAATCTGTTCCTCAATTCATTCAATAAAATATTGCATCAAATACATATCAAAAGGATCGAATCCAGCTTTTTTGCACACAGACCCACAGATTTTTTTTTCCATTTGATTTAAATTAGATTTAAATTTGAACAAGGGAATGACTCCTATCCAAAATATAGGAGAAAGCCAGAAGAAGAAGGACACATCGGCAAGATCATTGAGTAATATGAAAATGCACCATTTTTTTCCACAAATTAACACAATAATTTAAAGTCAATCATCATTTTCTTACAAAAAATATGTGATACGCAGCAATGTGCGGGTAATTCAGCCAGTATGTAATAAATTTCATTAATCTTATTGCCAATATTGTTATCATTTTGTTGTATTTTTATTCTTCAAATTTCATTAACAGGTCTATTAAATCTACATATGAAAAGCACACGTGGACCATCTTTCGTTTAAATTTTATAATCTCTCTCTCTCTCTCTCTATATATATATATATATATATATCTATATATATATATATATATATATATATATATATATATATGTGTGTGTGTGTGTGTGTCTCTATCAGGTATAAGAAATTGAAATGATAGTTTACGTTCTCAATACTATTTGTCGCTAAAACACGAAATTCTTGCTTCTTGTGTTCTATAAATCACGTAGCTAGCCGCATGTTCACCAGGCAGCTGTTTGCGTGTAGATAATGGGAACAGATTATGCTTCGTTGCAGAAAGAATATGAACTCGAGTATTCGTTCAAGTTAAGGGAAAATATTGCACCTAAGTTGGTGGCCCAGAAACTGATCTATCTGGTTGGATGGTTGGTTTTGTTTAGCGGCATATCAATTAATCTCTTTGTTAATTACTGTTGAAATCTAAAAATTTTCAACACGATTTTATGGTTTCAACTAAATATAAGTTGAACGCAATTGTATGCTTTCAGCTGCAGATAAAGTATATTTTTGGTCATTTTCCTATATAAATTTGTGTTGGTAATTTTATCATAAATTTGTATCGTCTGTCTATCTTTCTGAGATGAGGTATTGTAACTATATACACTATTTAAAGTCACGGCGTTTCGGTTGTTGTACGTTTGGAACGTCTTCAAGTGGTTGGAAGTTTGAACCGAACCCTGAGATATCCGGAATAGGTATGGAACTAGAATAATCTCCCCGGTTGGGTGAAATAAAGGGTTCGGTTCGAAATTCCAATTACCTGAAGATGGCCAGACCGTATAAAGGTCGAAACGTCGTGAATATGACAACAAATATACGGACAGCAGTCCGGACAATGTATTAGGTTGGTGCAAATATAATGACGTAATAATGTCGTTTTTGGACGTATTTTTTAACGTCAAAAAACGACATTATTACGTCATTATTTTTGCACCAACCTAATAAATAGTGGAAATAAATATGTATTGTTGGTCATTTTACTATAAATCTGTATTGTTGGTAGTTATTTTTTTAATATAAAAAATTATTGCTAGTATTTTTACGATGAAAATGTATTTTTATACTTTCGTAGTTTTTTTTTTGTTTTTGATAGTGGCTTTATCTTGCGGGCAATTAATTATTTCCCACCTGAGAGCACTATTACCACGTTCGAAACGTCGCATTTCTATTGCTTCCACGATGGCAAATGTGATGACGTATTACATTGCTTAGTTTCACCAGTTCATGCCTTTACAGCTTAGACACGCCAGGCCAAGAATTATTCTCTAACATTTACTAAGGCAACATCTTCCTGGGAACTGCTACTTTCGGGAACTGATTTTCCAGAGCATGTTCTCTTGATCATTACAATTTTAACTTCTTCCAGTTTGGGGTGAACTGTACTCTTTCTTACATATCTTCATAATTTCTACTTACTTCTCTTATGTCTATATGACAATCTCAATGAATAACTGTGTACCTTGAGTAACCTTTGGGCCTTGTATTGTGTGATAATTTAGTAAAAAAAATTCTAATGATAAGACAGTGTATACAGAGATATGAATTAATTCTTCTGTTAAGCACGTAGGTTTTAAGTGATCATAAGACGGGAAGGTACATTTCATCACCGCCGATTCAACACCGCTGACTCACCACCGGTGTTTAATTACCAAAGTTTTCATCAAACCGAAAATAGGAATTCTTAGTCAAAGAGTAAAATGAAAATTTGCACACGAAAGCGATTTATTTGTATTAGAAGTTTGAAGCAGTTATCGAGGAAGTAAATAAGCATTTCCCCAATTCCTCAGCGGCCACTGTAGAAATGGTTAAGGAGCACATAGACTTGAAACATCGTACAGAAGACACTGCTGAAAAGCTATGTTTTAAAAATGATCCTTTATAAATTATTTTTATTCGGTTTTAAAAACTTATGTTTCAAAAATGATCCTTAATAACTTACTTTTATTATATCGATATTTTTCATATCGTTGAGTAGGCTGGTAGTGAGTTGTTCTTGAGTCAGCCGTTTTGTGTCGGCGGCGTTGAGGTGGCGGTAATGAATCGTCCTGCACCCACCATAAAAAGCCTCTGCTGAAATTCGAACGATATTTTCCGATTTGGCATGACTAATACACACAAACACACAAACACGCACACATACACACACACACATATATGTATATAGACAGACAGACAGACAAACAGATAGATAGATAGATAGATAGATAGATAGATAGATAGATATGAAGAACTGAGATAGATAGATAGATAGATTGATATAAAGAACTGAGATAGATAGATAGATAGATAGATATAAAGAATTGAGATAGATAGATAGATAGATAGATAGATAGATAGATAGATAGATATGAAGAAACTGAGATAGATAGATAGATATGAAGAACTGAGGTAGGTAGATAGATAGATAGATAGATAGATAGATAGATAGATAGATAGATATGAAGAACTGAGGTAGGTAGATAGATAGATATGAAGAAACTGAGATAGATAGATAGATAGATAGGTAGATAGATAGATATGAAGAACTGAGATAGGTAGATAGATAGATAGATAGATAGATAGATAGATAGATATGAAGAACTGAGGTAAATAGGTAGGTAGATAGATAGATAGATAATGAAGAAACTGAGATAGATAGATAGATAGATAAGATGAAACATAGATAGATAGATAGATAGATAGATAGATAGATAGATAGATAGATAGATAGATAGATATGTAGGAAGAAAAGAGAGGCGTTAATAGATAAGAACGTCCGGCTAGTTGTTACCAGTGAAAGTGCTGTCATTGTCTTTTCGTGCTTGAGCATCTGATATAAATTCTGTCAATTTTTCACGTGTGGAAAAACGGGAGCTAATTAGCACTGACAGACTACACACCATGTAGTCGTATATATTAGGGTCCGAAATGAAGGAGAGGGAGTGAGAGTGTAGCAGAAAGAAAGAGAGACAGAGAATACCTAATAAGCGTGAAAAATAATCACGTTGTCATGGTTATACGAGCGCATCAATGTAAACATGAAAAAATGACGAATCTTTTTTTTTCTTCTCTTTTAATTACAGTATTTACATACTAACAGTTGTCCTCATCTTTGTTGTTGTTATCACAACGTTTCGGGTTTAATTCCATTTTCTTTTCGGTCCAAGTGAAATTGATTTGCATTTTGAACATCACCCCACAAAAAAAACGAGTTTCTCGGTAACATAGAGAATAAAAAAAAGTTATATTATTTTCTAGGTTGTGTTCGTATTGTTGTAATTAGAAAATCATTGGACACTTCAAGGCGGTGTAGTGGTTAGTAAGCTTGTCTCGCTAGAACAATTACGAGTAGTGAGTTCGATCCTCACTGGGTACCCCATACTTTCGGCCTTGTGCCACATCTAAGCTACACTTGGAAAATAGCTTTGGAACAGGCCATATCCTGTTCAATGTCGAATTCTCTGTCTTGAGCAGAGAGGAATCCGGACAAGGCTTTGCCGAAGGGCAAAGTTTCGTCCGGGGAGGTAGACAGACCCTGAACCCGTTTATGCGGGTTCTAAGGGAATATTTCTGGCCGAGCCTACGGGCTCGAAGAACCCACGGTAAACTCGTCTTTGTGGGGATCGGCTCTTAAATATTAACAAGATAGAAAAAAAAAAAAAAAAGAGAGAAGAGATAATGTTCCCATGTTTAACATCTTCAGTGAAATGGAAACAATTGTCAATTGTAAATCTTTTTATTTCTACCCTCTTACTTCTTTAAATAATAACTTACATTTATACTTATGATTCTGGAAAGCTTTAGATAACAACGGCAAAGATCAGATTATGGCTTTTGGCATCTCCAAGGTGTTTGGCAATGTTTCGCATCCTGGTTTTCTTCACAAGGCTATGTTATCTTCGGTTGAATCTTCGATTCTCAGTAACCCCTCGTCTTTTAGTGACACTATCGTCATACAGGGATAGAAACGATTAAAAAATACATTATTGTAATCTTTTGCTAAAGTTCTTCAGCTCAAATGTTTAGCGATGCAATAGGGGATGTCCATTGGTGTATTATAGTTGTTATAACTCACAATGAGTTTATTTCATTAACTTAAGAATTAGGATTCATCAGAAAATTTAAATAAAAAGAACCATTAAATTTTTACGGGTCCTTCTTCTTCTTCTTCTTCTTCTTCTTCTTCTTCTTCTTCTTCTTCTTCTATGAGTGTAGATCTACAGTGCTGTTCGATAAAAGTGACTCACCTGATTTTTTTTACTAAATGTTCTCTTCTCCGATGAAACGAAAATTGAGCTAAATTCAAAGGATAAGCGATCTAAAATTCGAAGAAGCTTTGAAAGCTCTTTGAATTTAGCAGTAAGTACTGTCAAGCATCCGTTCAGTATAATGTTCTGGGGATGCTTTTCTTTTCATGGAACTGGTTTCTTAAAACCTCTTGAAAAGACCCTCAGGAGCGAGCAGTACAAGAGAATTTTAGAGTCTTGTCTACTCCCTTCTAATGAAAGGGTGCAAATCGACCCCACCAAGCTCATTTTTATGCAGGATAATGTTCCCTGTCACAAATCAAAATTGATGAAGGAATACTTTGATGTGAAGCAGATGAGTCTTATGACATGGCCACCCCAGTCTCCTGACATCAACCCCATAGAAAACTTATGGAGCATTATAAAGTACAGGCTCTCGAGAAAGCAGTGGAGCAACAAAGAGGACTTGACTGTGAATTTCATATCTGAATGGAATTCAACGCTTGAAGATAAGATTTTCCAGAACCTAATCAGGTCAATGCCAAAAAGGGTTGAAAAGGTTATTCAAAATAAAAGAGGACCCATAGATTATTAAATATTTCGAACTATATTATCTATTATAAATAAATTATACCTCTATTATTCTTTATTTAAAGATGTTTGGTTATGTTTCTATTGATTATTAGTTGCAGGAAATAAGTGAGTCAGTTTTTTTTTGCACAGATTTTTTCCCTAAATCTCATTTATATCCAAAGTTATAATTATCAATAGAATACCTTAGGGTGAGTAAACTTTTTTACTAGGTGGTCGGGAAGGGGTCTTTATAGTAGTAAGATTAAAAATTAGTTTGACCCCAAAAACAATAGGCGAAAAAATTATTAATTAAAAAAAAAATCAGGTGAGTCACTTTTATCGAACAGCACTGTACAATTCACAGCTTGCTTAATCGTGTGCCTTCTTTCCCTGCCCGTATCTCTACCGCCAAACTTTAAAAGTATCTTTCGTAGAGGCATATATTGAGAATACTTCGATCATAGAAAGTCCATAAGTAACTGCAGACTGTCGGCACACACTAATTTAGCAAGAGGCGACGTTGTCCCATTTGAGACTGTTGTCATGTAAACAACTATGTACCGGTTGGTCTTATGTATTGTACTGTATAGCTAAATTTTACGAGCTGGACAGAGACGTATGCATTTTCCATCTGTGCAGTTAGTAAATTAACCATCCACTATTTTTAGCATTGGATCAAATAACGATTGCAGCTATTTTATCACTTTTTGGTATTAACTCGTAATAATCAGAGGCGGGTATTTTGTTGAACTGGTCTTCATCGATTTCGCTGCAAGGGAAGAAACCCAATCAATTTATTAATTTATTTAGAAGTTCGAAGGCTACAATGTTTTTCTTCATGACATGGGGAGAGATATCGGTAACTATCTTTATCTAGGTTACATGATACCAGCATCAGAAATAATAATTGACTAAATTCAATTTGGCTTCGTGTATTTTGGCATGAACTATATTACACAGAAAAGGGTTTACTACCCCAGTCAGAACTAGAACTCGTTTCTCTTATTCCATTTATCGTGTCGTTAACCAACGAAAGAGAAAAGGAAATCATAGAAATATGTGAATTTCCTAGTCTTTGCTGAATACACCTGGATATTCGTGCATGTTTGCCAATCTTTCCTAAGTGGTTTTCGATTTAATTATCATAATTTCTAACTTTAAATCTTTGCTATTGTGGACCAGAAGATAGACATATCCAGTTTTTCGGTTAATTTGCAGTTTAGCACCCGCGCTCAGATCGCATTATAAATTTTCAAAATACTTACATTTATGTGTAATTGTACATGCTTCATTCGAATCTGACTTGATAAATTTGATAAAATCCACCATTATGGAGTTATCGACAGTAAAATTTCGGATTCATTCGAGTCGCGGGCAGCCATTACTGGCGTTGTTTGCATACATTCGCCGCGGAATGCTATGTGTGGGATATTCACTTCTCTTGACAAGTAAGATCAGTAAACAAGGCCATTAACTACGTTCTCTTCCGCGCTTAGCTTTCCACAGCAAATGTATGCAAACAACACTAGTAATGGCTGCTGCCAACGACACGAATGAATCCGAAATTTTACTGTCGATAACTCCAAAATGGTAGATTTTATTAAATTTATCAAACCAGATTCGAATGAAGTATGTACAATTACACATAAATGTAAGTATTCTGGTAATTTTTAATGCGAATTGAACGCGAGTGCTAAACTGCAAATTACCCAGTTTTTTCTAATATCCGCAAGTTGTCTGGAAAAAACAAAAACAAAGAAAAAACGTTAATTTTTATATTACATTTTATATTCTACCCGGACACGGTTTGATTTGTTTGTTTTACAGCTTATTGATCCCTTGCGGGTTATTTAGAGCCGAAACATATTTCTGATTCTAATAGTTTGATTACAATATTCAATGTTCCTAACCCTCCCCACATCTAAACACTGATCGGGCTCGAAGTTGCTTAACGTTGGTGATCAAAGCAGAGACCAAATTTTTCGACGTGGTGTGACCGTAGTCACAAGAACAGAGAAAGAAGCCAAGAAGTCAATGTCTATAGAGTGACTTACTAAGCGTAGCAAAAGTGTGAAACTGCAGAGAACTCAGTGAGGTTTGAACTCACTACTTAGAAATGGTCTAGCAAAACAAGCATGTTAACAGTATCAAGTCAATATTTATATTGGCACTAGCAGCATGACCCGGCTTTGCCCGTGCTTGATTCAAAAATCGAACGACTCATACAGCAATCGCTATCACTTGACTTAAAATATTTTTGCTCTTCCTTGCCTTTAAAGGAGTGCCCTTTGTCGTGCTGATGTTGCTACATGCCTTACTTCTTGCCTATCTCACACTACGAATTTTTTCTAAGCTCTATAGTAAACATTAAATCTGTTACGAAAAAAGAACTAAACAAAATGAACACAAAACGATCAGCTTTAAAAAAGGACTCGTAACAAAAAAAGAATGTTAACAACAAATACTTTTTCACACCCAACCCAGTTCTACGGAATCAGAATCAACGCTGAGTTTAAGCAAGCGAATGAGCCAATTGGAGTAAAGTGCCATGCAGATTTAATTTTTTCCCATTTGTGACGAATGCAGCTATCGATTTTTTTTGCATGCTAGTTAACATTCATGTCAGTCAGTTATTGGATCTTACGCTGGCCAATAGAATCTTCCTGCCTATTCGTGGCAGCCAGCTATAGGCTCTCACTCTGGCCAGTAGAAAATGGCCGAAAACTACATGAAAACTGCCGTAGAAGCATGGAAATATCGATTATTTCCACTATCGATGGGAGTTGGGAAATGCAAAAATGGTCTTGGCCTTCCCCACTAACTGTGGGATGTGCATGTAAATTTTGGTGCAAATCCGCCGAAAATTGTATGCATTCGTTACATTCGTTACACACACACACACACACACACACACACACACACACACACACACACATCCTGCCTTTTATAGACAGAGATTATAACGTTCAAACAGGCAATAATGAAGATTAAATCTAAATTTACAAATACT